CCGTTAAAAAGACTTCTAAGCGAAAGAATTATTAATACATGCAAGACACTATTCTAGAATTGTTATTTTAGCTAGGGTTTATCTCATTATTTGCCTATGATTCCCACAACCCTAGTTATGGAGTTTAGTTACTCATAGCCATAAACACAATATTCAAATATATTAAATAAGAATTCATGTACCTACTTCAATGAGAAAGAATAAAGTCCAAAAATTTACTTGATTAATCACCAAAAATCAATTGTAAGAATCTCCAAAAATCAAACACTAATACACAAAGTCTAATAATATGATGTCTAATCTAGCAGAGTCTAACCTCAAAAACGAGGTTTTTAGAACTATTTATAAAAAAATAAAAACCTAATTAAACAAGGATTCTAATTGCTGGAAATCTGCCAAAATGCGGCTGGGTAGACGGACCACACGATGGACCGTCGTGGTCACGACGGACCATCATAGACTCCGTCGTCCCATACTTAGCAATTTCTTCTGCTGCTCTCTTCATTCCCCTCAACGGCAAGTATGACAGACCGTCATAGGCACAACGGTCCGTCGAGGGTCTTCGTTTCAAAATACTTCAACTTTTGGAATCTGGGTACTGGGATAACTTTTCTGATCTTCACGACGAACCTGCAGGACAGACCGTCATAGCCATGACGGACCGTCACAAGCTTCGTAATCCCACACTTGGTCAGACTTCCCCATCTTCCTTCAGCAGCTGCACTATGCTGCCACCTACGGACCGTCACAGGCACGACGGACCGTCATAAGCTCCGTAGGTGGTCTCTTCTGCATTTTTTCGCTCAAAATCTCCGCATTCAGCTTTGGACAGATTTTCTGCAAAACAAAGAGAAACTTATATCAAAATTAGCACAAAAAGGCTTTCTGACACACTAAACTTAAGGAAAAAGTATTAATTATACCGTGAAACCATGGTATATCAGTTGGAAGGCTTAAGAATAGGACGAATTTGCTCAAAAAATTGATTTCCTTTTTTCGCAGGTATATAGGTTGATGCATCTTCGTTCCTTTCTTCTAATGATTTTTTTCAGGACTTGAAGAGGAATTTTTGTATAAGTAATTCTTCTAGATTGAATGTCATATTCTAACTCTTTTCCAATTCGAATTACACTGTCGAAACATTGAATATCAGTGAAGAACATGGTTTTGTAGTATATACCCTCAAGTGACCTGATGAGAGTTTGGACCAACTCCTCTACATGCGGTAAATGACGTATCTTGGAGGGTTCCATTCCCCACTGTATGACATATTCCTCAAAAGATTCATGACTTAATTTCTTCATTTTGAGCAAATTGGACATTGTAGGGTCAACCTTCTTGTTAAACTTGTATTGTTCCACAAAGTCTCGAGCCATGTCTTCCCATGCGAGCCATTTGTCAAGGTCTTGTTTGACGTACCAAGTGAAGACTATTCCTGATAAGCTTTGAATAAATAACCTCATTAAGAGAGGTTCATTGTTTTCTAAGCCAACTAGCCTGGTGCAAAAATCATTGAGATGTGCCATCGGATCCCCACGTCCGTCGAACATGTTGAATTTTGGAATTTTAATTTTTGAAGGAAATTCAACTCTTGGGTGTAGGCATAAATTTTTATACCTCAGGTCATGAGCAGGTATTGAGTTTAGTTCTCCATTCACCTTTTTCTCCAAGTCATGCATTTTTCGCTGCAGTGCATCTAGCTTAGACTTCTCTATTTTGTCACCTATTCCTTCATATTGTAAAGCATCAAAGTTGATGCGTGTTGGAGACCTTTGTTGAGAGAGGGTGTGAGTAGGAATATGATGAGGAAAGATGGTCCAAAAGGTACTTTGTGTTGGACGAGAAGAGGGGTGATTTTTTCGAGGGTTAAACATATTTATCATATTGCAGGTTCTTAGTCGAGTCCAAAATCCAAATACTAGACAACCAATAGTTAAAGAAGTAAATCAAACACAAAAGCGAGTTATTATATAGTGAGTCAAAATTATAATTTCAAATGAATGACACAATACCTCAAAGTGGGACAATTATAACAATTAATAGAATAAGGTTACCTAATTGATTCAAGTTATACTTTGCCAATTTGAAGTTTAGAGTCAAAGAAAGATTTTAACTCCATTTTGACATAATGACTTGATTTAAAATATGATGATCAAATTTCCACATAAGTATGCAATTTTTCTAAAGGGTGTTGGGACCCTTTAGACGATAGGGTGGTTACTAATTATGTGGATTGACGCCAAGGGTCAAACCACCTAGGGTTTATGCAACATGTATGACCTAACAAGAACTTCTAAGATTTGTATTGACGCGGACTTGAAAGGGATTCTATGCGAGAGGCTCGTGATTTAGCGATAGTAAAACTATCTGTTACATCCACGCATATGCCGACTCTCTATAATGGGTATTTGAATAGAATTGGAGTAGTTGTGAGAGGTTCAAAGGCACAACATCACGAAAACAAAAATAAAAAAGAAGAAGATGGGCCAAATTGGGGAAATTAAACATGAAAGTAAATAAATAACGGAAAAGGGAAAAGGTGAAACATGGTAATAAACAAATAAGGAAGAAGGAATGGAACATGGAAAGAAAAAAGTACATAAGGCAGCAAAATAATAACTGAACATGGTAAGCACCTAACAAATAATGAAATAACCAAAATAAAGTAATTCCCACATAAATAAGCGTGAAACACGTAATGGTAAGAATCAAATATTCCCAGTGGAGTCGTCATTCTGTCGCGCTCCATTTTTCGCAAAAACGAGTTTTGTGCACGATCTAACAACTCTTTTGAGATTTTGAGTTTGGAGTCGCCACCTAACGAATCAAGGTGCGTTAGGGCACCTATCTAACCTAACTAAGACTAGCTAAGATCAACGAGCAAGTGATCAGGATAAGGGTTCAAATTACCTCGAGGGGAAGGTGTTAAACATCCCTCATGGTCCACAAATGTGGATCCCGACTGTATCTCACACAATCTATGTGGGGGTTACAAATAGCAAAGGTCACTTCATTTATTAGTTTATTTAAGTATCATGCTTGCTAGGTGATAAGAAATATAAATCAAATGAGACCATTTTATTATTTTTGACTAATTAATTAATAAAGTTAGGTGATAACAAATATTAACAATTAAAATCTAACATGTGAGACTAGGTGCTATAACAACAAGTTGAATCAAATAGTTCATTATTATTTTAATTATATATTTAAACATGCGTGTCTAAGTGATAACAATAAAATAGATATACTAAACAATTAAAAAGAGATAAGCGAGAGGATAGAAAAGAAACAATAAATAAGCAAACAATTTAATTATTTTTTTATTTTATCTATCCCAAATAAATATAATTTAAAACAAACAAGTAAAGGGATAAAACGGATGGGAGACTCTAAGAGACTTTTTGGATCAGCACTCGACTTTCTTTTATTTTTCGATAGGTTGCCGTATAGGGACAGAAAAAACCAAAGTTTGTCTTTCAAGCCTGAGTCGATGTCATCATCTCCGTAGGGTCAACTACCCCTACCCAACCACTACATGCATAACGTACCTAATAGGTGCCTTATCGTCCCAACTTAATGTCCAAGAGGAATTGGACTCTTAATAGGATGAGTTTAGACAAAATAAAATATAAGGCCCTCCTAGCACCAAGTCAAACAAACAAGGCAAACAATACGATCATTTTAGCAATACAAGTCTCAATTTGGCCTCTAAAAATGAATTAGACATGCTTGCAAACAACACATAATGGTGAAGGTTCTCAAGCTAAGTTCGTGAGCATAGAAAGTTATAGTAACAAAACAAAGATTAATTATGAGGGCAAAATATGACATGAATGTGAATTTTAGTATTAACTAGTTTTAGAGTGAGCAATGATTAATGACATAATAACTTTTGCTTGATTTCCAAGTATAGCAAAAGATGTGATTACACATGCACATATATTAAAAATAGTAGTCGAATTAATTTATATGGTAGAAAATAATATTTATAAAAAAAGACTTAATTTGTTTAGGACAAAAAATTATTTTAAAGACACCAGATTTTATTTATCTAAGTAGAAAATTATTTTTTAAGAACAACAATAAATTTATTATTAAATACAACAAATTTTAGATAAGTGACAAAATTATTATTGATGCAGAAAATTATTTTTTAGAATATTGATGGATTTCTAGATGGTTATTTCGTAAAATTATATTTGGATCTTCTTTATTTAAGAAAAATATTTTACTCTTATATGTTTATATTTGGTAACAAATTTTTAATTTAAAAATCTGATTTCCGTTCTTCTTATTTAAGGAAAAATAATATTACTCTTCCTAATTTTATTCTTACTTATTTATTTTTGATGATGAAATATTTTCTTATTTTGGCTCTCCTTTGAAATAAGGAAAATAGTATTATAATAGATTATTTTAAATATTTATTTTTCTTCTTTGTTCCCTCCTCTTCTACTATATAAAGAGACCCCCTTTTCATTCTTTTATAACACACACTTTCACATCTTGAGAAGAACTCACATTCTCCCAACTCACACTAAACTTATTCACTCTCTCTCAACACAAGAGCTCTCATCCTCTTACCACTCATACTATTACTACTCTTAAAGAAATTAAGATTCCGGTGTTCTTCTTTATTACTACTTGGCTACTTTGCTTTGTTGAAATAGAAGTTTGATCAACTCGTTCTCATTGCTACCAACCTTTTTTCTCAACCGATTAGTATTCCTTTCGCATTCATACATTTACGAAAGTTTATTGTTCTATTTCCCTATATATATAACTTGTTAAACAATTGCATATCTATCTTATCTTGTCTAAATAAATGTGATTACTTGTGTAGCTATTATATATTAAAAACTTTTTAAAAAGATTCGGGGATTCACATTTATATCTTAGGAAGGGGTTAAACACCCAAAATATCAGCTTAATTGCGGTTACCGACAACTAACTCTATATGGCTAAAAATTTAACTTGATTTTATTTTGGGGTAAAAATTGTTTAGAGCTTGTTTTGGAAATGAATACTTAGTTTTTATCTAAATTAAACATATAACTTGAAAGTTATTTTAGAACTATTTAAACTTGATTCCATTTTAAAGTGTTAAAACATTACGGCGCTTCCAGGGAATCGGATTCTTTTAACTTTAAAACTAACAGTCACGAATAGAAAAAGACAAGAAAACAAAAAAAGAGAAAGAGAGAGAGATATTTGGATTCAAATCCGGGTTTCCTGTCCGCCTTGACCGGAATTTTGGACCTACCTATTTTGAGTTTTTTGGCCCATTCGACTTTTTGGATTTTCGACCCATTTTTCTTTCGTATCTGTCCTAGACTAAACATACAAAATTAATAAGTACGAAAAGTAAAAGATGACAAGGGCTTAGGCCTGAAAAATAACAAAATACAATAAGAAATGAACATATAAAGTGGGCCTCCTTTGGCCCAACTTCTTCAAATCTTTTTCAATCCTTCCAACTCCGGATCGGTACACCGTTTTAAATCTATTCTTTCGATTTCTAGACAATATATTCGGTGAAGGAACTATGAGTCTTTTGTCTCTGCTGAAATGCGAGGGAGAGAGTCTCCCGGAACTCAGGAGGACTGGTCCAACATAAAAGAGAATGAAATAAATAACGATTAGTAACAGAGCATAGTTCAATTATAGATAACACAACCAATGTCAAAAAAATAAAAAAAAATAAAGAACAAGACGGATAAATGCAGCTAGCTAGTTCACTGTTAAGTTGTGAAGGTGACAAGGAAGAGTATACACATCCAAACGAATTCTGCTTTTAAAATTACAGTAACTCCCATATAATAAAGTAGAATACAGGAAAAGAGACTATAGACATGCAATTGAACTAGCAACTAAGGAACTGATTAGCGGATTCATGCAAGAGAAGAAACATAAAGAAAATATATGCTAGCATTTACTTGTGATAACAGTAGTATATAAGCATATAAATTCTAATTGATCTAATCAATGCTCACTGATCACAACCTTTCTAATATAAAACTTAATTGGCAGCAACTATTTGAAAAAGAGAAACGAACATAACTCAAATTAGCAAACACATATGGGAGATACAAGAATGAGGGAGTGTTGTATCTTGAAGAAGTGCCTACCCAGGCAGAACATGAAGTCCGATCAATTTATCGCACACAAGATATATTTCGAATAGACAACATGAAAGGGAAATAACACGATCAAAACAATCACCTACGAATTCAAAACACCAAATATAAAACATTAATTGAACTCTAGATGCTGACGTCTTATTTCTTTTCCATCTGGTAATGTGAGAGCGAAAAGAGTGATCTGAAAGCGAAAAAAACAATAACGAGCTAGGAAAGAGCCTAAAGAACTGATAACCAAAACTCAGGGAGGCAACAAAACAATGCATAACAACAAACCCTCAATTCGAATCCATTAACCCAATCTGATGGAAGAACGGAGGAACAGTGACATGGGCTAGGGGAAAGAGAGACTCAAAATCAAATCAGACGCACAAGAACAACAAATCTCGATGGACCATCGAATGCAGTAAATAAGCAGGAAGCCGTCAAGAATCATTAAAGAGTAACTCCAAGTAAAGACTATATCATATTAACTCGAAATTTGGTAGAATAATAGCTGGACCAACGAGATATAATTAGCATTCAACTACTTAAACTAGTCAAGAAAATGGAATCCTTCATTTTTTGAATAAACAAATTCACTGAATCAGTGATCATAACAAGCACCCTAGAAATCATAAATTTAAATAAAGTCTAACCTTACAGATTATTATTTTAAATTTCAAGGAAAAATATGTCGAAAAAGGGGGGAAAGAACAAATTTTCAAGCAGCTACACGACTTAAAAAGAAGAAGAAAATAATGGAGAGAAACTCATACCAAACATGAAAACTAGACAAAAGGCAGCATACTAGATCAAAATGTGAAGAAAATCAGCCATAGCATCCAAAACAGCCAGTGTAAAACGTCAAACGAAACCGAAACTAAACTATCTGGATCCACTCTTAACTTGAGGTGAAGCATAAAAGAGGTGACATCAAACAAACTCCAAACACACAACAAACATATATCAGGTGGAAAATAAAGCTAACTCGAAAACAAAACAACAACGAGACGAGTTAAGATAAGAGAAGGAGAGTTTCACCTTTTTCCGGTAAGCGAACTTGGACGAAACTATTTCCGGTAAGCGAACTTGGACGGAACTGTTAAAGAATGATAAAAGTCCCACATCGGTGATTAATGAGATGGGTGGACTGTTTATAAGGCTTGGACAATCCTCCTCCCTTTGAGCTAGCTTTTGAGCTGTGAGTTAGGCCTAAAACCTAATTTCACATGGTATTAGAGTGCGTTTCACCCGATCCAACATCGGTGATTATTGAGATGGATGGACTTTTATAAGGCAATCCTCCTCCCTTTGTTCTACGAGAACTCAAACTAGAACAAAAATTGAGGACTTTAAGCAAAATATCGGACTCAAACCCCAAAAAATAAAAACCTGATTTCTTTTCCGTTTCATCCTGAAAACGTGTTTTTGTCCCTCTTTGCTACTTTCATGAATCTGTATATATATTTTGTTTTCTACGATTCAACTCAAAAATCTTGAAATAAATTTTCCTTCCCTTTTGTTCTATAAGCTTTGTCAACAAAATTTTCCTCCCTCTCTGTGCCTTCAACTCAAAAAATTCCCCTCCCTACTAAAAATAAACAGAAAACTACATTATATAGAGGAACCAACTAGGGTTTCGGAAATGGGAAAAAGGCTGAAAAACCAGATAAGAACAAAGCCCAATTTGAGTTTTTTTTTCGAATTTTCTCCAAAAGCAGAGGAATAGCAGGTGCTTGTAGGAAATCTCTACAATTACTCAACAAATTCCAACGTCTCATTAATGAGAGTCGTTCGAGCTCGAGGTAAGGACAGATGCAGCTTGAGATCGCAACACCTAGACGATGAAGGACGACTGGCAGGCTGCTGGTTGTACAAAATTCGTACGGGCCTGGAAAATGGACGCGTCTCCTGACATGGAGACGTTGGAGCGTCGCTCACGCGTGGAGAGAAGGCGATGCGTGCAGGATTGCCTGCTAATCGTTGTTCACGTAAAGCCGTGCATTCATTGAATTTTATGCGTGGCGAAGAAGAAAATAACGCTCTCCTTCTTGATGGAAGAAGACTGTTTGATCGGGTTGGAAGGAGAAAATAGGCTGGGCGGATTAGAGTTGGACTTGAGGGAGAAGTTGGGCTGGGTCATTTGATGATTTGCTAAAACAGATGGGAATTGGGTTGGGGAAATAAAACTTTGGGTCTGGGTTATCTGAAAAGGGGTGGGCTGCTTTATTGATAAGGTTGAGTAGAGGATTGGTCTATTGGACTCTAAAATAAATAAGGAAAAAGGGTTTGAATTGATGATGCTAGATGGCCTAAAACTAACATCGAATGCGCTTAAAGTGTAGCAAAACTTACTCATAACTTAAGCCACACTTTAAATAAGATGAAACAAATAAACGTTAATTAACGAGCTCTTTGAATCTAACGAGATGAAATAATAAACTAATCTATAAAATTAGTGACTCAAAATATAATCTGCTAATTTAGACAAATATCTTAACAAATTATTAAGTAAAAATGCAATCCTTTTGAGATGTTTTTTTTAAATATTTATGAAATAAACTAATTATATAAAATTATAAAAAAAATATATATATCACTTCAAAACTATAAAAATCGACTAAAGTTATTTTAAAATGACTTGAAAATTATTAGAATCTTATAAAGTCGATTGTTTCAAACTCGTTAGAAAAATTAAGAAACTTGTAAATTAATCATTATCAGAGAAAGGTCAAAATTTGGGTGTCAACACCCTTCAACTTTGGATGTGCACAAATAGACAGTTAAACTTGTATAAAGTTGAACAAATAGACACACATATCCTACATGTAATTTTTTGTCTTACGTGGTGTCCTACGTGTGTTGTGTCATGTGGGACACATGTGTTTTTTTATTTAAAAGTTCAATAGTTAAAGTGCCTGTTTGTGCATTATGAAAGTTGGAGGTCAAAGTTAAAATTTAAAGTCAAGTTTAAGGTCTAATATATGTATCACGCCTTTAATGAAATTGGCATCCCCAAAAGGTTGGGGACTAGGGGGCTGGCTTGCCTACTCTATCAACTCAAATCTTAAGAAATTACATATTTCTAAGAAAAAAAAATAAGGAGTGTATATACTCACTCCTAAATAACAAGTATTTGGACCCCTAATGAATTCAAAGACCACTTATTCCAAATTCATTTGAACGACGTATTACATGATTTTTAAATTTGTAACATTAAAGCTCTGTATGAAATATCATATAAAAAGCAATTCTTTGCTATTTTTTGAAAAATTACATGATATATATAAGTTGATCATCATGTTCACATTTTAGGACGTTGGAGTGGAGAACAATCCATATATGGGATTTGTGTACACATCATTTCAAGAGAGAGCAACATTTATAACGCATGGTAATATGGCTAGGCTAGCTAAAAAAAGCGGAGGCCCCGTGCTAGCGCGTATATGTGGAACCGTTGCAGCGGATGAGAAGCGACACGAGAATGCCTACACAAGAATTATTGAGAAGTTACTAGAAGTAGACCCAAACACAACTATAGAAGCTATTGCGAGTATGATGCGAAAAAGAATTACTATGCCGCTGCACCACATGAATGATGGGCAAGATCCAAATTTACTTGATCATTTTTCAAAAACAGGGCATTTACACAACTCGCCATTATGCTGAACTATTAGAATTTTTCATAATAAGATGGAAATTAGAAAAGCTTGAAGGATTGATGGAGGAGGCGACATGTGCACAGGATTTTGTGTGCCAACTTCCACGAAAGATTAGGAGGTTTGAAAATCAAGCTAAGAAATTAGAGTCCGTCAGGTGAAGTTTAGTTGGATTTTTAACAAGTCATTGAGTGTAACGACCTGTTTAGTCGTTTTGAGCAGTAGAGTATTTTCTGGTATTAACTGTCTGAGTCGACGGATCCCACGACGGACCGTCATGAGCACGACGGACCATCGAGGGTGTCTCGTTTCAAAACACTTAGAATTTTGAAATTTGGGTACTGAGATCGACTCTCTGAACTTCACGACGAAATGGAAAGACGGACCGCCGCAGGCACGACGGGCCGTCACAGACCTTTAGTGAAATTTTATTCTCTGAACTTTGTGACGGAAGCAGCAGGACGGACCGTCGCAGGCACGACGGGCCGTCACAGACTGCGTAACCCTGACTGGGTCGGATTTCTGTTAAATGTTTTAAGGGGCATTTGGAATATTCCTGCTTATAATTATAAAGTTAGTGGGTAATATTAATAATTCAATTACTTGAGGGTTAAAGGAGATAACCTTGAATTAATTAGTGGGTTACTTTTGTCATCTTTTATACTTAATTATATGCTAATTAAGGTAAAAGAAAAAAGGTTTGAATAAGAAAAAATAGAAAGAACAGAGAGAGGGACAAACGATAGATCAAGAGGAGAGAACGAAGAGGAAATCAAAGCATTGAAAAGTAGATTCTTGATCACGAATTCTTAGGTGGAGGTATGTTATGGTTTATGCTAATTCATAGTAAACTCTTAATAGCGAATGATATGTATTGGGTAGTATTGTAAACCCTTCTATATGCTTAATTGTGTGCTTGCATGATGTGATTATATAATTGTGATAAAATAAGCATGATGAGGCTATTGAATCCTAAACCTTGGAACCTCTTTGTTAATGATGATGCCTTGGTATAAAAGAAGGCTTGATGAACTAAAAAAATGAGGATAGAGGATCGGGTGTCACGTTCCGGCACCAGGATAGTAATAGAGGATAGGGTGTCACGTTCCAACACCAGGATAGTATATGGATCGGGTGTCACGTTCCGGCACCAGGATAGTATATGGATCGGGTGTCACGTTCTGGCACCAGGATAGTATATGGATCGGAGTGTCACGTTCCGACACCAGGATAGTATGATGAGGATCGGAGTGTCATGTTCCAACACCAGGATAGTAGTAGTGGATCGGGTGTCACGTTCCGACACTAGGATAGTATGATGCGGATCGGAGTGTCATGTTCCGACACCAGGATAGTAAAAGAGAATGAATCTTGAAGTATGTTAATATACTCAACTTAATGAACCTATTTCCCAAATGAGTATGGTATGGAGGCTTGAGTCCTCATGGGTGTACTTGGCGTTATTTATCAAAGATCCTTGTATATGTTGTTGCTACCTGTTGAGTATTGTATTTGATTTTACGATATTATCTGATATATACTGTTTTCTATTTTGAGTTGGCTGATGATACCTACTCCGTACTTGTGTTTTGTACTGACCCCTACTTGTATGTTTTCTTTTGTTCATTGTGGAGTGCAGAAAACGTACCGTCGTCTTCAATTCAACCGCAACTCTAGCCAGTCTTCATCACGTCAGATTTCAGGGTGAGCTATTGTTTCTAGCTTGGACTGCATCTTCTCCTTCACGTCTTGATGCCTTGAAATTCTGGCATGGACTGTTTGTTTAGTTATTTTAACTTCTTAGATACTCTTAGACTTAGTAATTTGAGGATAGATGTTCTTGTGATGATGACTTCCAGATTTTTGGGTTAATGATAAATTTTGAGTTTTAGAAGTTATTAATTGATTTCGTTAATGAGTTTTAAGTCTTTCACATTATTTTCTGTTTATTATGGTTGAAATGATGGGGTTTGGATTGGTTGGTTCGCTCACATAGGAGGGTAAATGTAGGTTCCACTCACGACACGTTTTGGGTCGTGACAAATTTGGTATCAGAGCATTAGGTTCGTTGGTCTCATCACACAAGAACGAGTCTAGTAGAGTCTTGAGGAACGGTAGGGGGACGCCTTTACCTTTCTTTGAGAGGCTATGAGACTTTAGGAAAATTCCATTCTTTCTTTATTTCGTGCTATTACTTGGATCCAATTGGTATCTAGGTGATACAAATTGGTATCTGACCATCTTCACTCTATTTCGCAAATGGTTAGAACTAGAGCAACAACTGCGCCAACACCAACACCGGCAAGACAAAATGCGTCTGATCCAACCACTGGGGCTGTAACTCGAAGAGGAGTAGTGGCAAGAGGCCGTGGAAGAGGTCGCGGGAGGACGTCCTCTAGAGGAAGAGGACAAGCACCTAGCCCATCTGGTACTAGGGTGGTGACTCCTCCACCGACTGAGGAAGTAGTAAGAGAGGGTGAGGAAGGGAAAATGAGCAAGTGCAGAATGAGGAATTGCCACCCCAACCTACCCCAGAGATGATTAACCAGGTTCTTGCCTATCTTAGCGGGTTATCTGATCAAGGCCAAACACCTCCAGTGTTTTCTGCACCAGCACCTAATGTTCTGGAGGTACAACATGCAGCTACTGTGGCTCCCCGCATGGATGCCTCATTGGAAATAGGCACGTTTCCTCGGTTGACTACAGAGCCTATAATGACAAGTGATCAGCATGAACTTTTCAGTAAGTTCTTGAAATTGAAACCTCCAGTCTTCAAGGGTGCTGAATCTGAGGATGCCTACGATTTTCTGGTTGACTGTCATGAGTTATTACATAAAATGGGCATAGTGAAACGATTTGGTGTTGAGTTTGTAACCTATCAGTTTCAGGGAAATGCCAAAATGTGGTAGCGGTCACATGTTGAGTGTCAACCCGCACAGGCACCACCTATGACTTGGGCATCATTCTCTAGCTTATTTATGAAGAAGTATATCCCCCGGACCTTGAGGGATAGGAGGAGAGATGAGTTCTTGAGCCTAGAGCAAGGTAGGATGTCGGTTACTGCGTATGAGGCTAAGTTTCGTGCACTATACAGGTATGCCACCCAGCTTTGTTTCAGTCCACAAGAGCAGATTCGCCGTTTTGTGAAGGGGTTGATGTATGAGTTGCGGATTTCAGCCTTACAGGTAGCGGCTACAACAAAATTCTTTCAGGAAGTGGTAGACTTCGTGATAGAGGTGGAGGGAGTGAAGCCAGATAACTTCACCATGGCATCGACATCAAAAAGGTTTCGTAAGGGAGGTGAGTTTAATGGTTCTTACTCCAGAGGACAGGGTTCAGGAGGTTACCCAGTCCGATCAATTCAGTCCTCACTACAGGCTGTAGCTGGGGGTCCACCGCAGATCGGTCAACATTTCTCTGAGTTTGGTGGTTATCCCCAGACTTCATCATTCTCACAGAGACCTATGATTGAATCCAGAGAGTGTTATGGA